AGACGGTCCCTGAGGACTGGTCTCACAGCCAGCTGCACATAGAGACCAGCGTTGTTAGTCCAGGTCAGAAGATGACTTGTTGGAATGAAAATGAGCTTGTAGTTTGTCTGCTTTAATAATGTGACTGGAAAAAGGTGTAGGACTTTAAATATGTCCATTTCTTTCACACTTAACCTTTAAAAGTGAAGCCTTCAAGGTGGTCCCTTGAAGGAAAGACATGACTTTTTCACTTTAATGTGAAACATTCAGAGTTTTTTCTCTTGTTTGTTTGAAGCTGCTTCCTGTTGGCTTCAGCTGTTTGGAGTTTCAACTTCATAAACTTCTACATTCTGAACCTTCTTCAGCTCTGAACAGATGATGAAACACTGAATGATTTCAAGCTCACACTTTGTCTAATAAACTTACATCTTTTGTTCTTTATACAGCTTGAAGGACTGTGGTTTGTCAAAGATCAGCTGTGCTTACCTGGCAGCAGCACTGAAGTCCAACCCATCGTATCCCAGAGTACTGGACCTGAGTGGAGACTACAACAACCTGCAAGATTCAGGAGTGAAGCAGCTGTGTGGTTTTCTGGAGAATCCACGATGTCGATTTGAAACTCTGAGGTCAGTCATCATGTTTTTGTTGTGCTGACACTGTGGATCGGTAGGCCCACAGACCCCTATACAGGAAGTCTTGTTCTACTCTTTGTAGAACATCTGATCCCTGATCAGGGATCAGTAGATAATGCAGAGTTCTGAGCTGACGTGTGTGACGGGACTCGGGCAGCCTGACAGACTTAATGTCCATGTCTTCCCTGCTTATCCTGATACCAATTGACATGAGTGTCCTTGCAGGTCAGATCTTATCAGTCACACCTGTTAGTGCAGCTCTCCTCTAGATTGGAGTGCTTGTTAAGGTAAGATGGTTTTAGAAGCCTGGAGTGCAGACTTCAATTGAAGATATGACTTGGAAAGGCCAAAGTAACCTATTAGAGGTGTTTGCACTAACAAAGATTAATACTCAGATTTAAACCTTTATTGTTTCACAAAGGGTTAAAAAGTGAATATACACAGTGAGGTTGTTGGTGAGATGGGCACTTCCAGCACTGTAGATGTGTTCCAGCTCAGAGTTTATGGAAATAATCCAGAGAGCAGGATTTCTTGATAAATGTCACATCTTCTTAAATTTATAATCCACAGAGGAAACCTTGAAACTGTCGGTCTAATATCTAGTCAACTAGGGATGCACCGATACCGATACGGTATCTGGTATCGGCCTCGATACCACATTTTCTAAAGTACTCGTACTCGTTAAAAGTCCCCCGATACCGGGGACCGATACCACGGTCTGAGACCTGTCTATGTTTGAGCGGCATGTAAAGGGTTAATCAAAGGCGCCGAGTGCCCGCCCCCAAGCCCCGGCTGCAGCTCGGAGCTGGAAGAAGGGGAGGCGAGACA